GTGTGCCCCTGCCCTAATTCCCACTCCCCCACTTGCCCCTCCTGATCTCTGCTGGGTGCCTCTGCCTGCCCTGCTGCGCTCAGCCTGTCTCCAGTCCTGGGGCTCCACACCGGGTGTGCCCACCGTCTGGCCGCCCTGCAGGTGTGACTGCCTCAGAGACACTCGTCTCCGTTATTTAGTGCCCAGCGACGGGCGGAACAATCGCCTTTGCTTGGCGCTGCTTGTGCTGGCACTGCCTTTCCTAGACGGAAGGCCCCTGCGACCCCTCAGCGCTCAGCTCTGCACCACACCCTGCAGCCCCGAGCCGCAGCAGTGCTCCCCGAGGGGCTGCAGTCAGCACCCCACTCACGCCCAGCCGGGCCTCTGATGATGGACAGCAACACTTGGGCTTCTAACGGACGTGGATGACCGAGCTGTGCTCACACATCTGCATGGTCCCTGAAGGAGCACAGGAACCAGGGCCTGAGAATAGTCAGGGCAACGTTCGGTGTAGAGCCAGGCAGGAGGAACCCAGCTGCCCCCTTCCCCTTCTCAGGTGCGGGCGAGACGCCAGGACAAGCAGTGGCCAGGGCTGTGGCAAGCCCAGGGACACGCGGGGACCGGGGCCGAGTGGGCCTACAGGGGAGCAGTCTGGCAGAAGCAGGAGTGAGCTCCCGAAGCTCACCCTGTCCTCTAACGGCCGAGGAGGACGGAGCAGACACTCCCCCAGAAGAGCCGCGCCGGCGGTGCTGCACCTCACCGCGTGGCAGGAAGCAGCCCGCCACCCTGTCCAACGGCCGAGGAGGACGGAGCAGACACTCCCCCAGAAGAGCCGCGCCGGCGGTGCTGCACCTCACCGCGTGGCAGGAAGCAGCCCGCTGGTGAAAATCCTCCCCTGGTGCGGCCCCGCCCCCTGGTGAAAATCCTCCCCTGGTGCGGCCCCGCCCCCTGGTGAAAATCCTCCCCTGGTGCGGCCCCGCCCCCTGGTGAAAATCCTCCCCTGGTGCGGCCCCGCCCCCTGGTGAAAATCCTCCCCTGGTGCGGCCCCGCCCCCTGGTGAAAATCCTCCCCTGGTGCGGCCCCGCCCCCTGGTGAAAATCCTCCCCTGGTGCGGCCCCGCCCCCTGGTGAAAATCCTCCCCTGGTGCGGCCCCGCCCCCTGGTGAAAATCCTCCCCTGGTGCGGCCCCGCCCCCTGGTGAAAATCCTCCCCTGGTGCGGCCCCGCCCCCTGGTGAAAATCCTCCCCTGGTGCGGCCCCGCCCCCTGGTGAAAATCCTCCCCTGGTGCGGCCCCGCCCCCTGGTGAAAATCCTCCCCTGGTGCGGCCCCGCCCCCTGGTGAAAATCCTCCCCTGGTGCGGCCCCGCCCCCTGGTGAAAATCCTCCCCTGGTGCGGCCCCGCCCCCTGGTGAAAATCCTCCCCTGGTGCGGCCCCGCCCCCTGGTGAAAATCCTCCCCTGGTGCGGCCCCGCCCCCTGGTGAAAATCCTCCCCTGGTGCGGCCCCGCCCCCTGGTGAAAATCCTCCCCTGGTGCGGCCCCGCCCCCTGGTGAAAATCCTCCCCTGGTGCGGCCCCGCCCCCTGGTGAAAATCCTCCCCTGGTGCGGCCCCGCCCCCTGGTGAAAATCCTCCCCTGGTGCGGCCCCGCCCCCTGGTGAAAATCCTCCCCTGGTGCGGCCCCGCCCCCTGGTGAAAATCCTCCCCTGGTGCGGCCCCGCCCCCTGGTGAAAATCCTCCCCTGGTGCGGCCCCGCCCCCTGGTGAAAATCCTCCCCTGGTGCGGCCCCGCCCCCTGGTGAAAATCCTCCCCTGGTGCGGCCCCGCCCCCTGGTGAAAATCCTCCCCTGGTGCGGCCCCGCCCCCTGGTGAAAATCCTCCCCTGGTGCGGCCCCGCCCCCTGGTGAAAATCCTCCCCTGGTGCGGCCCCGCCCCCTGGTGAAAATCCTCCCCTGGTGCGGCCCCGCCCCCTGGTGAAAATCCTCCCCTGGTGCGGCCCCGCCCCCTGGTGAAAATCCTCCCCTGGTGCGGCCCCGCCCCCTGGTGAAAATCCTCCCCTGGTGCGGCCCCGCCCCCTGGTGAAAATCCTCCCCTGGTGCGGCCCCGCCCCCTGGTGAAAATCCTCCCCTGGTGCGGCCCCGCCCCCTGGTGAAAATCCTCCCCTGGTGCGGCCCCGCCCCCTGGTGAAAATCCTCCCCTGGTGCGGCCCCGCCCCCTGGTGAAAATCCTCCCCTGGTGCGGCCCCGCCCCCTGGTGAAAATCCTCCCCTGGTGCGGCCCCGCCCCCTGGTGAAAATCCTCCCCTGGTGCGGCCCCGCCCCCTGGTGAAAATCCTCCCCTGGTGCGGCCCCGCCCCCTGGTGAAAATCCTCCCCTGGTGCGGCCCCGCCCCCTGGTGAAAATCCTCCCCTGGTGCGGCCCCGCCCCCTGGTGAAAATCCTCCCCTGGTGCGGCCCCGCCCCCTGGTGAAAATCCTCCCCTGGTGCGGCCCCGCCCCCTGGTGAAAATCCTCCCCTGGTGCGGCCCCGCCCCCTGGTGAAAATCCTCCCCTGGTGCGGCCCCGCCCCCTGGTGAAAATCCTCCCCTGGTGCGGCCCCGCCCCCTGGTGAAAATCCTCCCCTGGTGCGGCCCCGCCCCCTGGTGAAAATCCTCCCCTGGTGCGGCCCCGCCCCCTGGTGAAAATCCTCCCCTGGTGCGGCCCCGCCCCCTGGTGAAAATCCTCCCCTGGTGCGGCCCCGCCCCCTGGTGAAAATCCTCCCCTGGTGCGGCCCCGCCCCCTGGTGAAAATCCTCCCCTGGTGCGGCCCCGCCCCCTGGTGAAAATCCTCCCCTGGTGCGGCCCCGCCCCCTGGTGAAAATCCTCCCCTGGTGCGGCCCCGCCCCCTGGTGAAAATCCTCCCCTGGTGCGGCCCCGCCCCCTGGTGAAAATCCTCCCCTGGTGCGGCCCCGCCCCCTGGTGAAAATCCTCCCCTGGTGCGGCCCCGCCCCCTGGTGAAAATCCTCCCCTGGTGCGGCCCCGCCCCCTGGTGAAAATCCTCCCCTGGTGCGGCCCCGCCCCCTGGTGTCCTGCACTGTCGCTGTGATGCCCTGGTGCCCCGTGGCTGTGAGGCCTGTCACTGTGACAAGCAGCTGGGAGGCACGGAGCATCACTCACAACGGTCAGTGTGGGTGGAAAGCTGGGAGCAATGAGGGAACCAGGTTAAGTGCCCGCCCTTGGCTCTTCCACGGAAACATCCCACGCTCCTTCCACCAGACGTGGGCCGCACTGACCTTCAGGTCCCTGTGCACGATGCCGTTGAGGTGGCAGTGGCTCACGCTCTCCAGGATCTGCTGGATGCAGTGGCTGCGGAGACACAAGGCAGAGGGGGCTGGGGACCGGGTGCCGGTGGCAGTGCAGTCCCAGCACACACACAATCACACTCTCTCCCAATTCCCAACCTTCCACGGGAACTGAACGCTGCCGAGTCAAGGTACTGGTGATTGTGGTCCCAGCACGGACTCTGTGGCACGTTCAGGCAAAACCACTTGAGCTGCTTCGTTCGTCCCCACGGCAAATGCGATCATGCTGCCCAGAAGGGAAGGTTTCCGGGAGGAGAACGTGTACCTGCTCCCATCGTGTCCCAGGAAACTCTTCAGGGACCAAGCGTGTGGGGGTCTCTTGCACCCCTGAACTGTGCCCGCCTGGTCACCACGGCACCAGGGAAGCAGGAGGAAGCGGCAGGTGAGGGAGGGTCGGACCTGGGGCCCAGCTACCGTCTGACTCGGCAGCGCTGCTCCGGTGCGACATGTCGGAGGAACACTAACGGGGTCCCCAGGAGAAGAACCGAAAGTCCGCCCACAACGTGGACCCCGCGGCAGTCGGGCCGCTTCTGGGGAAGGGCTAGGAGCCGAGGGGCGAACGGTACAGCGGGAGCCCCTGGAGCAGGGGACGTTAAAGGCGTTTCCACGCCCGTCTGCTGTCACCTGCGGAGATGCACCAGCCGTGCCCCCTCTCGGGCCTGCTCCCTGCTGTTCAGGTAGAGGGACCCCTACTGCGGCTCCCCGTCCCCGTCATCCGACAGTGACGTGGGCCACCACCCAGCAGCGTCCGAGCTCAGGCCCACACCACGGCCAGAGGAAGCGAGCGCTCAGTGAGGACGCGCTCCGCCACCAGGGTAGGGAGCAGGGAGCCACGGG